AAGGATCAGCTACCAGCCTGATGCTGTTAGAAAGTGGGGAGACTTTAGAAGGGGGCAGTTCATGCAAGGATGTTAGATCTTTGAAGCTGTGCTATTATTAAAGGGGATGGTAAGTCCCTGGTCCCATCCTCCTCTCTCTGCACTTCCAAAGCTGCCAAGAAGTGAGATGCTTCCCTCTGTGTAGATTGCCACCATGTGCCACGCCAACACAAACCCAAAGCAGCATGGCCAACCTTTCATGGGCCAGAACCTCCAAGCCCACGAGCCCACATACATCTTTTCTCCTTCTGAGTCAATTTTCAAAATGGTGCAGCAGCAGAAAGATAACCCATCACTTTGGATACCATTTCTAATAGCTGTATTATCAAACTTTGGTGATCATTATAAAGACCTCCTCAACTGATGGAATGGCACCTCTGCTCAGTCAGGGTTGGGGTGGGGTATCAGTTGACTGAGCTTTGGTTCCCAGCCCATCCTTGAGCTACAGAAATGTCTCAAGATGAGTTCACAGTCCTGCCTGCCCATACTCACAGATAAAGAATTCTCTTCCTCCAAGCGGGAAGTGACTCAATACCTAGTAGCAGAGCAAATATGAGTGACTATGGGCCAAAGTGCATGAATTCAGGTCGCCTCCACATTGTTCCAATAGGACCATTTAATGAGGTCTTTCTCTTTCTTTCTTTCTTTCTTTCTTTCTTTCTTTCTTTCTTTCTTTCTTTCTTTCTTTCTTTCTTTCTCTCTCTCTCTCTCTCTCTCTCTCTCTCTCTCTCTCTCTCTTTCTCTCTCTCCCTTCCTTCCTCCCCTCCCTCCCTCTCTCACTCTCTCTTTCTTTCTTTCTTTTTGTTTTTTAAGACAGAGCTTCTCTGTGTAGCCCTGGCTGTCCTGGACCTCACTCTGTAGACTGGGCTAGCCTAGAACTCACAGAGATCTGACCCCCAAGAGTCTCATGTACTCTAGAATCACTTGATAATGGAGTCTCAATTGAGGGGTTGACCAGATCAGACTGACCTTTGGCTATGTCTCTGGAGGTTTGTCTATTTTTTAATTGATAGAGAAGGACTCATTCCATTATCCTTAAGTGTGTAGTGCTGGGCTGTCTAAGAAAATGAGCTGAGGATAAGCTAGCCTACAAACCAGCTAACAAGAGCATCCTCCATGGTTTCTGCTTCAGAACCCTCTTCCCTGACTTCCATTCTCCTCACTGCTCTCCCATCGGCTTGTCTGCCAGGGAAAGACACACAGTTCTCCTCGGGTACCAGAAGTGTACTCACCTCCCCAGAGGATGCTGCAGTTCAGGCATCTGAGGAACCTACTGCTTCTACTCCTAACACCCTCCATCACTTTTCCGCCTGCCAAACTGAAGATGGAACACTCATCTACAGCCCTTCTATAGCTCTGACGTCAGTCAGAACCACTGTACCGTTCACAACGGTCATCTGTCCTACACTACAACCCCCTCACCACCTGTCTGGCCTCATGTCCCAGTGTCCTCCCTCACACTGAGATTGCAGAGAAAGCTTAGAAAAGCAGCAGGGACTCAGGGAGGTGATGCTTCTAGGAACACAGCTGAAAGGCCAAGTGTGTGGTCATGCCATGGAGGTGACAGTGACCTTCTCCTGCCCATATACTCTTTGCTATCTGCAAAGAAGTGTCACAGCTTTGAGCAAAGAACCCTCGGTCCCCCACCAACCAGCAGCAGCCTACATTCCCAGTCTCCCTGTGACTCTCTCCTCTCCCTTCACCCACCTCATCCTTACAGTTCCCCATGGTCCTCAAATACATGTGCCCGCCCCCCACACACACATCCTTACTCTTTCAAGCCTTCGCAAAGAATTTTTCTTGAGGCTGAGAATGTACTTTCTTTCTTGGTGCCCTTTCAGCCTGCTGAACTACTCCATCATGTCTTTCAAGACTGTCTTCAGCAGCCACCCATGAGAAGCCCTCTGGGTGCACTAATTTGCCCAGCAGCCAGGGGTTACTGCTGTTAGAGACTTGATTTTGGTGTTTGCAATGATCTATTTTCAATGTCAACCTGGGCAAAAGTAGGCAGAGATGGCTACAGTCTGTTAGCTTCCCTGGATTTCCATAGTAAAATACCACAGACTTGGTGACTTGCAAGACAAAAATTTCTGATAATTCTGGAAGCCGAGATCCAAGTTCAAGGGTGGCACCCCAAAGACTCTGTCTATGACTTACAAAGGCGATCTATACATTGTTCTAAGACACGCTCCTGAGCATGTGTCTGCGGAGGTCAGAAGCTGACACCGGGCATCTTCCTCTGTGACTCTTGACCCTTTTTTTGAGACAGAATCTTTTCACTGAGCCTGAAGTTTACCTACAGGGTATACTGGCTTCCTAGTGAGCCCCATGATATTCTGTCTCTTCAGCACTGAAGGTACAGACATGTGCTACCAAGCCCAGCCTTTTGCGGGTGCTGGGAGTGTGAACTCAGGTCTCATGCTTAAGAAACAAGCGCTTGCTTGCCTGGTAAGTCATCTCCCCAGCTCTTCCTTGTCCCATTTTCTTTTGGGGACTTCAGTCAGATTGGACCACAACACACATCAGGAGCCTTATGTGAGTTTACTTTCCTCTTTAAGACCATATCTTAAAGTACATACACATTCTGAGGTGCTAGGGGATGAGAGACTCCCGTCTCAGGCTAAATTCTATCTCAAAGAAGAAAATCCAAGGCACAAAGGAAGCTGGAATGCCTCCCTCAGATAGTTTCATCCATTTTCATGCTAACAGTATATGAGAGTCATTATATGATTGTATGATCTACATGAAACCAACCAAATGATCTTTCCAAATTTTATATCTATATCTATATCTATCTATCTATATACATACATACATACACACACACACACACACACACACGCACACACACACACACACACACACATATATATATATATATATATATATATACATATATATATATATATATATATATATATGCTGAACAGCCTGGAGAAAATCTTCAAAGCCATGCATGGTATACAGAATATTCTAAGGCCTGAAATCTGTTTCCTGCTTCAGATAGTATTCTGGAGTAGAATGTTTCCGCAAGTAAGTTATGTGGAGGTATTCCTAGCTGTATGATCCTAGGCTAGATGTTCAACAAATACTTAATACAGCTCCTTTCTGTGCTAGGTCATGGAGTAGGTCATAAGATCCCATCATTAAAAAACTCCCAATGTGGAGGAAATGTAAGATAAGTAAACAAAATTGAAATGCAATTGATAGGCAAGATTGTCTAGGTGTGTGCAAAACATGTCAGAGCCTCGAAGAAGGATCTCCTTAAAATTTTAAAGTGTAAATTTTCCAGTAAAACAATACAACAGGGTACAGCAATTAAGAACATGCACTCCTCTTGCAGAGGGCCCAGGTTCAGTGCCTGGTACCCACAAGAGACAACTCATAACTATCTGCTGCTCTGGGGGATCCTACGCCCTCTTCAGGCTTCTGAGGGCACTGCACACACATGGTACACATAAACTGTGCAGGCATACATACAGACACATTAAAAATTAATAAATAAATCTTTAAAAAATAATACATCAACTTCCAAAACTAAACTTAAGAGAAATCCAATGAATAACACAAACTACATATTGTACTAATGTGAAGCTGAAATAAATAAAAAAATGTAGATTCAATTAACATGAAGAAGATAAGTGCCACCTTACATAACTAATGAAATGGAAATCGGTTCCATATTCATCAAAGTATGCAGAGCCCTTGGGTGGAAATTAAAATCTATCCCTATGGATATGAATGCTTCTCTAGAGTGTTTTTTTAATGCACATGGCAATCACATAGCACAAGTCTGTACAAGTCACTCTTCCAAACCTGAGATAGACTAGGCTCATTAATAACACAAAATCAGCTGTGGAGAACACTAGAAGAGCCAAAAAGAGGAAAGAGAGTCTTCTCTTCTGGGCCCCTTTATTTGTTACACTGGCCCCTCCAGCAACCAGTGGGCAGTCTGTCATGAGGTGTCAGACCCCCTAGCATTGATATGTAAGAGACATTTGTGTATGTCCTCCAGAACCCAGTGAGTCCAAAAAAGGTCACTCCTGGCAAGCAAAATAGATGCTGGTGCTTTTTGCACACACAATATAAACATGTATACATGTACATATTTTAAATACATGCATGTGTTTACACACATACACGTGCATATTGCACATGTATACATAGACACATATTCATATGTACACATAGCTAAGAATATATATACACACATGTATATATGATTATATATGTACATGTGCATATTACACATGCATGCATAATAAACATATGAATGTGTATATTATGTATCATATAATAATACATAAATATATACACTATTCATGTGTATGTACATATGTGTATACAAAAATATAAGTAGGTATGTAGGTAGATATGTAGGTATATAAACATATATATACATTTAGAATTGCTTTTACTATAAGTAGACTAAACAATTCAATTAAAAGACCCAACCTGCCACACTTTTGTTTTATTTACTGGTTTGGATAATGTTTACATGAATGTGTTTATCCTGTGAGTATTCACACAACTAGTCTTTTACAAATGCCTATTGTACTTTTATTTTAAGATGGGGGGTCTCAATAGGTAGCCCAGGCTATCCTTGAATTTGTGATTCTCTTGCCTCAGCTTCTAGAGTGTCTGTGATTAAAGGCCTGTGCCACCATGTGCCCTGCTTCCTTAGGCACTCTTCCGGTATATTAAGAAATTTCACTAGTTATGTCTAGAAAATATCTATATATACACATAATTTTAGGTCGAACACAAGCTAGAAGTTTTTAGAAATGATTGCTAATATGGGGAGGACACATTATCGGAGGGGAACAGAGTGTAACAACATAGAAGGATGCCATAAGGAAATCCACTTAGGTGACTTCACACTTCACCTAAGAACATAAACAAAGACAATCGTAATAACATGCTATATACATGTTTATGTGCTTAAAACTTTGTGCATGTAGATGAAGCAGTACTTGCTGAGAAATTCATGACTCTACATGACTACATTGATAAAGGAGAGAAAAAAAAACAATGAGCTAATAGGACAAGGGAAAACAATAAATTCCAAGAATATAGAAAGAGGAAAACCATCACCTTGAAGAGGAAAGTGCCTGAGAAATTGTGAGTAAAGATTTCTTTTCTAGTCTCCATTCATCTCTGCCTTCAGGCATAGCCTGTCTGTGCAGGTAGATCACCTGAGCATTAAAACTGCTCTGTGTGTGTGTGTGTGTGTGTGTGTGTGTGTGTGTGTCCCACACCCCAGTTTAAATGGTAACTAATACTATAAGAACATAAAGATCATTCCAAAGCAAAGTGCTACCTTATGGCATCATCTATTAAAACAACATATTTTCAAAATAAATACGTAAACATTGACCTTCGATATATTATACTAGATTTGGTTTGCTGGGAGGGGGGTGCTTTGAAACCCATTGCAAGTTACCTTCTGAAAGTAGTAAGTCTGTATAATTTTCATCACCTTGAAGTTAATTAACTGGAAATATTTTACCTCAGAGCTTAGCTTGCCACTTTTATTTATTTTTAATCTGTCTTTTTGCATGCAATTAAAATCCTTGAAGAACAAAGCGGAGGAAAAGTTAAGGCGGAAAAAGCTGTTCTGGTTTGTTGCTCAGAATAATGTCTGAACACACAGCATTTATTTCCCCTCCCTCTGGAGAGGATGTTAAGATGCAGCTACAGGAATGAGGAAGGACAAAATCAGCAGCGATGGAGAGAACCAGAAGGCACCACCCATGGATGAGCGATCTTGATAAGTTTATGCAAGATGAGAAGTGGGTAGGCACTGCTTCTGGGAGTGGATGAATATTCCAAAGGGCCCTGCTGCTAAAAAACGGAGCTGCATAAGTTACAACAAACAGAACTGCAAACACCTTGCCGAGATCACAAATCAGTGCGAGAAATCTCTAATAAGCCAATGCAGAGGAAGGAAGGAGGAGGAAGAGAGGAAAAGCCAAAGTGAAAAAAGAAAAGTCACGGGTGTAGCCCCCTGGGTTCACAGCTGGCTCAGTGGCTGGCAGTTCCTTCTCCAGTGGCGTGCATAGCATCTTCCAGCATTATGAGAGCTGGCTAGTAGGAGATGAAGCTGCCGGGTCAGCACAGGCTTGATCTCTCCATGTTCTATGGCTCGAGTGTGTGACGTCATCAGCAACAGAGTCTTACTGTCGAGTTCTGGAAGGTAACCAAGAACACTGACAACAGTCTTTAGTGTTTAGGGATCTATGTGACCTCCCTGGGGAACAACTCCAAAGAAGGTGACCCATTCCTGGCACTGTTCATTACCCTGTGGTGTCGAGAAGTTGCCCTATTATAGAGTAAATCCATTTAATCTCTGGTGTATGTGCGTGTGTGTGTGAAGTTTCTCCAGCAGTAGGTTTCCATATAACCTTTTCAAATATACCACTGCCAGCAGCCAACAGTGCAAGGTGACTTCACACTTCATGCAGTAAACGTTTCTAAAACTATCATATGATGGACTTTTGCTAACAGAAAGTACAAAGCATGTGTGAAAGCCTGACTTCCGTGTTGGCCAGTTCAGCCAAGCCTGAGATATAAAAATAATCTAGAACTGAACAGGTTCAGATGTTTCTTATCATTACCACCTAAACAATGCAGGGTAACAACTATTTACAAGTGTTTACATTGTATTGGTAACTGAGAGGGATCTAAAAATGATCTAGAGTGATCTAAGAGATAGCTCAAGATATTGGGAAGAGTGTAAGTTACATGCAAACATTATAGGGTGTCTTGGTTCCCAAACTCTTGCTCTTGTAAAATTACCCTAACCAAAAGCAGCTTAGGGGAGGGTTTATTTTATCTTACACTTCCAGGTCACAGCCCATCACTGAGAGAGGTCAAGGCAGAGTTTATGGAGGAAGGCTACTTGCTGGGTCACTCCCTGGCTCATGTTTAACTAGCTTTTATATACTGTCCAGGATCACCTGCCTAGGGATGGTTCCACCCATCATGGGCTGGGCTCTTCTGCATCTATTAACAATTGAGACAATCACTCACAGACATGCCCACAGGCCAGTCGGATCCAGGCAATTTCCCAATAGAGGTCTTCCTCTCAGGTGACTCTAGGCTGTGTCAAATTGACAACTGAGGTTGACTTGGACAGGAGAAGAGGGGCTATTCCAGAGTCAGTCCACCTAACGATACCATGAAGTGACCATAGCAATAAAAACAAATAAACATAAATATAGCTGCCATTTCCTAGAAATAAATGGGTTCGCCATAGACAAAGCATCTATGCTTGCTTGCCATGGTGAGGTGTAACACTGGGGAGAAGCAGAAGGAAGGATCTCATTCTCACACTGGGACCTTGTGACACCAGAGGTGAAGGGTTACAACTCACTGTTTTTCTTTCTTTTGCTTTAACTGAAAATAGTTACTGCCTGTGTTGGCTCCCTGATGCCTCCTTTGCTATAGGAGCTAGACACACGGCCCAATGCAGTCAACCCAGGGTACCATTCCCTGACTCTGAGCCCCAGCAGCTCCAGTCTCCTGAAAGCCTCTTAAGGCCAGTGAGCATCCACAACAGCTGGCATGTGTCTATCTCTTGTTTTCACAGCGCTGCATCTTGTGGAATGCCAAAATGGACTCCTTTATGCCTTGGATATTACATGTTCAGTCCATCATTTTAAAATTAGAACCTGAAGGGCTGGAGAGATGGCTTGGCAGTTAAGAGTGCTTACTGCTCTGGCAGAGGACCCAAGTTCAGTTCCAAGCACCCAGTTTGGTCAGGTGACTCAGAACTGCCTATAATTTCAGCTTCAGGAGACTTGATGCCCTCTTCTGGCCTCCATGGGCACTGCACTGGCATTGTATACCCATCCACCCACACACACACAGATATAATTTTTAAAATGTAATAAGGAGCTGGAGAGATGGTTCAGCCGCTGAGTTCACTTGCTGCTTTTCCAGAGTGCCTAGGTTTGTTCCCAGCACCCTTCCTGGGAGGCTCACAGCTGCCTGGAGTTTCAGCTCCAGGGGATCCAACATCTCTGCCTCTGTAGGCACCTGCACTCACACACACACACACACACACACACACACACACACACACACACTCACACACACATACATACCATCCCACACATGTACATAATTTTAGAATAACAAAAATTTAAATTATTAATAAAAACGAATGATAAAAATATGAACCCAAGCTCTTTCTCAATACTTTGAAGCTTCCTTCATTGCGTTCAGTACTGAGGGTCATAGAATGGAATGCTAAACTCAAAATCACATGAAAAACAAAGCAACGGCTTAGGATAGCAGAGATACACACAATATTGGACCAACATAGGTGTCCAATAATAGATAGAGAAAACATGGAGCATATACACGATGCAGTTTTCTGCAGTCACAAAGAAGAGCAAAGTCATGTTGTCTGCAGGGAAATGGGTGTAACTCCAGATGATCACAGTAAGTGAATTTAAGCCAGACTCAGAAAGATAGATACAAAATATTTTCTCTCATTTGTGGATCCTAGGTTTTAGATATAAAATAATTTCTGTATGTCTGTCATAGAAATGAAACTGTCTAGGGGAACACGGGGGACTGATGGGAAGGGAAGGGAAAAGAAGAGAGGTGTGATGGTCACTCTGGATTGTCAACTTGATGGGATTTAGAATCACCCTAGAAACAACCTCTGGGTATGTTTGTGAGGGAGTTTCTGGATTGGGCTAATTGAGGTAAGAAGATCCACCTTAACCACGGGTATTCACCATTCCCTAGGCAGGGCATCCTCCACTGTGTAAGAGTAGAGGAACTGAGCTGAGCACAAGCGAGCAAACATGTGAGCATGCATCCATCTCTCAGCCCAGGGTATTTTATCACAGCAACAGAAATGAAACTGGGCCCCTGCCTACCCACACAAGGTGGATGATCTCCATTAAACCCACCGATTCAACCATCAGTCTTAGCCGCACACGTCCTTCCAGACACACCAAAAACAATGGTTAACTGTGTATCTGGACATGCTTTGGCCCTGTCCAGTTGGTAGATAAATTAACCACCATGAAGGCTTAGGGAAGGGGCTCTCTTTCTATTTTTATTTTTTCACTAGAAGCCCTTCCATAGTACTCTTTGAAAACACACTCATGCTTTACAAAAAGTACTGTTTTTAATGTCAATAAATCCCTTGCTCTGGGCAGAGCTCTTGAAAGGAAGTTTTTCTTATCCTCAACCAATAAGAACTGAACAGTATTTATCGAATAAGGATTCATTAAGCTCTTCAGAACTCGCATCCTTCAGTCTCATCCTGCCTACCCCATGAGACCAGTGTCCAATTAAAAAAACGTGATTGCATATGTTCCTTAAGCTGTTAATATTCCCCAAGTCCCTGCTATACGTTATCCGCTGCTACCATTTCTATGTATGCCCACACCATAGTAAGCCATGTGGAGGTCACAAAGACCAAGAAAATAAAGTTCCTGCTGGCAAAGAATTAACAGTCTTCCCTAGGCGAGCAGACAGGATGACACCACAAAGCCATTTACAGTACATTATCCCAGACTGGAAGGGCCCAGACAGGCAAGGCCGATTAGTCTTCATTCATTCCAGCCCCACCGGGCCCCACAGGTAATAAGACCTTGATAAATACGTGTTAATGGAGGGATGGATCAATGGCCTGACAGCCCCTAATTCAGAGGCCAGACACAGTGGTGAGTGTGCATGCTGGAAACACCAGCCAAGCAGAGGCGAGGAGCTGGCTGCCCTTAGCCAAGGCACTGAGGTGGGGCTGAATGTGTCACTGCATCTTCCAGAAGAGAAGAGAAGCATGCCATCCTGGTGAGGGGTGTGAGGACCAGTCAAGAAATGATTCCTGGAAGTGAGAAGGGGAATCGAAGTAGCTTTCTTGAAAGTAGCAAAGCTGCCAGAGGGCCATGGGGACCAGGGAGCTCACACTGTGGGTCCCTGAGGTAACTGGTCATTCAAAGGAAGCAGGGAGAGGGAATGCTGATGGGTTCAGAAAGCCCTCAGAGGCAGAGCGAGTCAGACATACACACAGAGGGAGAGAGAGATAGACAGACAGACAGAGGGGCAGAGAGAGACAGAAACGGAGAGAAAGAGACACACACACACACACACACAGAGGAAGAAACAGAGAGAGAAGCACACACACACACACACACACACACACACACACACACACACACACGGGGGGCGGGGGCGCTAGGGGTGAACCTATCTGATTACCCATCAGGCCAGGAGCCCTGGCTGCAGGGCCTGCTGTGTTTCCACACATTAAAACTCCAGTTTTTCATGACCTAGAGTCAGCTGGACAGTGTGTGAGTTAGAGGCCCCCATTCCCAGGACATTGCGATGCTCTACACTGGGAGAGACGGTGCGTTCTCCAAACCACACAGAGTAAGTTTTAACTTCTCCGAGCTTCAGTGCTGTGGCCGGAGACAGCCTCCCAGGCTGCGAAGTCAGCCATGGAAAGTACCTTTTATTTTTTTTTTTTCCTTCTGGTTTGTTTTTGAGACAGAATCTCTCTATGTAGCCCTGGCCATCCTTGAACTCTCTACATACACCAGGCTGGCCTCAAACTCACTGAGATCCACCTGTCTCTGCCTCCTGAGTGCTGGGGTTAAAGGCATCTGCTACCACACCTGGCCGTGGAAAGCATTCCGAGATGAGGCTCCTGCCTAGCGTCACTCAGTGTTAGGGGAGCTAAGTGATCAGAGTTCTCTGGGTGGAGGCACTAGCTTTTGACCTAGCCTCAAAAATCAACAGGATTTCAATGCACAGAGATGGGCATGCCAAGTCATCCCGGGTAGGAGCAAAGTCCTAGGGCAAAAGAGTGTGTGGAGGGAACCACAGGGCTTTTCGCTTGGGAACTGTGTATACAAATCGGTAGATAGGGCGTCCTGGAGTGTCAACCACAGGCAATTGGAGTCAACCTTGCATTGGAGTCAGTGGGGAGGCGTGAAAGGTTTGGCAGGAAAGTCAGGTGTAGACCTGGGCTTCTCTGGCACATCTTGAGAGATGGCTGATGAGGACACGCTGCATGGGGGAGACCCAGGTCCAGCCCTCCCAAAGGACTGAAGACGGACCCTTGCCAGTGCTGATGTTCTGGGGAAGATAGAGAAATGACCTGCATGGGACCTCTTTCGCAACCTGCTTCAAAGAGAGAAGATGGGGTGACAAAGAGGAGCCAGGAGCCAGGTTAATGATTGGAATGACAACTGCCAGTTCACTGAGGAAAATATCAATAGTTTCATTTAATCATTCGC